TTTTCCTCCAACAACTGCTGTAATTTCTCTTCTTGTTTCTTTTCTTTCTCCTCCAACAACTGCTGTAATTTCTCTTCTTGTTTATTTTCTTTTTCCTCCAACAACTGCTGTAATTTCTCTTCTTGTTTCTTTTCTTTCTCCTCCAACAACTGCTGTAATTTCTCTTCTTGTTTATTTTCTTTCTCCTCCAACAACTGCTGTAATCTCTCTTCTTGTTTCTTTTCTTTTTCCTCTAACAACTGCAGTAATCTCTCTTGTTTATTTTGTTGTTCGAGCTCCCACTGTTGCAGGTTTTCTTGCAACTGCTGTTGTGTCTCTTCTTGTTTCTTTTCTCATTCATTTTCTCGTTCTTCTTGTTTCTTTTGTTGCTCTTGTATTGCTGCCATCAAGTCTGCTATGCTGTAGTTTGATTTGCCGCTTCTCGTTTCCATTTTTTTTGTCCCACTCTCTGACACCAATTTGTTACGTCTCCGTTTGTTAATTAATTTTCCGTAACTTCGTTCCGACGAAACTTTAGCGACACAAGTCCTTACTTAATAAAACTGGTTTATTCTTTCCGAATATAACTTTACGATATACTTAATTTCAACATTCGCGCTAAAACAAACACCATAACGAACGAACGTTAACTTCAACAATACCCTGTGACCTCAGATCAATTACTCGCTACCTACACACATACTATTGTCCCGTCACGTTGTCACCCTCTTATATATACCAGACTACCCTATATCTAGTAATCTCCCGACAATTCACGAAGGTACAAGATATTTCCAGAAAGCAGGGGGCGTGACACTAGTCACGTGACCTCGCTGACGCAACAGGTATCTTTCAGAATGCACACGTACTTTTTTCACGATAACATTCCATTTTTCTGTGTAGTTTTTACTAAAAATATGGTGATTAAAAATTACTTCGAGACTGATGAAGTAAGTGAAGAGTAGGTGCATTTTGGAGGTACAGACAAATTCGACAAATTCGTACAGTTAAATTCTACAATTTTCGTTAATCATTCAACAATAGTTTCCGTCATTTTTGACGGGCTTTTATACTAGTAATAAATATAAAAGTTATTTCATTGTATAACGATATCGTCACATTTTTAGTTTTCTGATTTCTCATAGTCCATCGGCTATAGGCAGAAGATGTTAACTTTCGTTTGGCAACTGAAAGGACCAATATCTTTAGGTTAGAATAAGAAGAACAGTTGCCAGATGTGGCAAAAAATAATGTTCTATGTTATATGTGCACATTAATTAGTAATAGGCATTTGGAAAATGCTTATTTTCTCCATCTAAAATCTCTTGTTTTGTAATTAACCCTAGTTACACATTTGATTCGTAGGTGACTCTGAATCACCAATTAACCAATCACACTGATGCATTGTTTCAACATGTCAGCCTCCATGAGCTGTAGTGTTTATGTTATTGTGAAAGAAGAAAGTAACTTTACAAATCTTTCACTTACAAGTTTCAAGAAAATTTATGAATGTGTTAAAAAATCTAGCCGAAATACCAGGGAGAGAGAAACAGGACAATGTCCTGATCATGTGTTCCCATTCTATGACTGATAATTCATCCTGTGTTGCATGTTTGAAAAGTCTTGAAACACTAGTCTTTGCTACAGTTAGCACTGGGATTAAAAAGGTCAACCAATCTGCCTTTTATTGGAATTAGTTCTGATACTAAACCATGTATAGAGACTGGTAGGCACAAGCATGCAATCAAACCAGGAGGTTTGTGACAGAAGGGTATACCCAGAAAAGAAAAGCAGAGAGTTTGACATTATGTGTCACATATGAAGCTGAACATGTCCTAAAAAGAGATACAGATATGAATCAGTATGAGGAGATGCTTTTGAAAATTAGACATACTGACCTAGTAGCCAAAGAAGCTCAATGCCATAAATTATGCTATAAGACATGTACTAGGTGCCTGGCATCGTTTGCTATGCCACCTGCTGAGGTAGACAAGTCTCATGAGGAGGCATTCATTCACTTATGTGAAACGATAGTTGTAGAAAAAAAATCATCAAGGCAGTAGAAATGTATAGAATGCACATTTTGACGATAGGCTATTTCAAGTGGCTGTCAGGAACATCCATGAAAATGATGTAGACTATCGAAATTGCCAGTCGAAGTTTACAGTGAAAATACCTACAGCTGATCTTCATTAAACCAAAAACCGAAATTCAATTCATGTCAACTGGTTTTGAATGGATTTGAAATAATTTCATCGGTGATTCAGGAGGAACATACAACTGAT